CCTCCAACCACTGCACCCCCCGCTTGTCGGCGGAGGACAGCCGCCCATATTCCTTTGGCGGCTTGAAAATGAAATGACAGCTTTGACTGCCATTACATGCCGCCAACTCCTTGACGACGAAGCCCTCGCCGCCGTCTTGCAGCTGGAATCCCTGCATGTCGACCACCACGAACCGCATGTTTACCACAAAATGTTTTGACTTCACAAACTTTGTACCACGAACTGGCGCCGCTCGATCAAATTTGCCTCGTATTTATTATTACGACAACGTTCGGACAATTTCGCTAAGCGGCCGGTGTTCCACGATGCAATCGAGGATGATGACGCAATAGGCGCGCGTATTTGCAGGAAATCCGTTTTTAGCCTCGATATCTAACTTAACGTCGACCGTGCTGGATTTCAGACTGTCGTTTCTTCTAGAACAATCGTAGTTGAGCAGGGCGCGTCTCTCCTCGCATCCCTTATAACTAGGATAGAAATCCGTGTAATTGTGATGCGCCTCCACAAAATCGTTCTTGTCAAAGTCGAGGCTCGAGCGTTCGTGAGGGTAATATTCTCCGTTTAGCGTTAGTCGTATATCCGTAATATCGATGTGATCGAAATAAGTAGCGTCTTTATTTTCATTATCTTTACGATTTGTTTGAAACGCGGCGATCACATAGCGGGGACTCTCAACCGCCGCGCACGTTTTTACTCACCAAATTTCTTTGACAGCGCCCGCGGTCAGGGCTGGATGTTCGTGCAGTTCCCATCTTCGGTACGGTATCAGAATGGGCTGATCCGCTCGAATCGATTGCAACAATTGCAATTTGAATTCGTCATTTGGAAATATATGTTTGACCCTGAGATCGACGCTATCAATTTTTAATTCCGCCGTGGTCGCCTCGCTGGAAATAACGGCGGCGGTGCCGGGCTTCGGAGTAATAACCATACAATTTTTGTCGTGTCTCGCCCGTACCAATCTTACGGTTTGTTTTCCGCACGTTATCATATTATAATCGTTGAAAATGTTCAAAAAATGACGCAATGGGATCCGCATGCTGAAAGATCCGTCCTTGTCGAGAATAGCTCGTTGCGGGAAATTCCAGCCGGCGACGTCTAAATGCTTCGAATCCTTCTCGTCGTAACATAGCTAGCCGCGGAGCGTACTGACTATTCCGGGATCGCGCACGCTGTCCACTTCCTTTCCGTTCAGCTCGTAAGTCACAGTTTCGAAAAAAAATGCTCCGGCATTGTTTACAAACTCCAAATCGTCGGTCCCGGTGAGTCTTTTTAGCGTTCCTTTAACACAAATGGCGGCGTCGTGCATAAGTAACCACGCGTCTCTTTGATTGATCGTTATCTCGATTGTGTCATTGTTGAGAAATGATTTCACAAACGGGTGATAGGTGCGACTTTCCACGCGCTGAATCGACTCGTCATATTTTGGTTTTCTGTGTATGTCGAAAATTTGATTGGATAACATCGTAGCCCAGCGAACGAAGAAATTGCTTGTTCGTCGGTGTAAGGCGTCCTTTACAGGTACCCCTCGGTCTCGTGACTGACTCTACCGACGGTTGGTTAGGACCTTTATATTCGATGGCCTCGTTAAAAATCAACATTTATGATAGCTTTTTCAACTCCAATCTGACGATGATTTCCTCGCCTCGGAAATTGACCGGCTCGAAATTTTGATCCAGAACGTGTAGCGTAATGTTGTAGATTTCTCGCTTGTTTACCGGCAAGTAAGTTAGGTATTTCGGGGTTTCGTCGATCGCGTACCCCGGATCCACGGACAAGGCAAACTCGTAAATTGTGTGCGAAGGTCTGTCGTTGTAGAACGCTCCGGACGTTATGTTGCTATCTATATGTATGGTTCTCACTTTTGTTATGTCCACAGGCAAATCGGAACAGTGCACGCTGCGGGGTTCCAGAATTTTCCGCGAAAAACCCAACACTTTTCCGATACTGTCGTCGTGATCTTTAAAGTTTATCCCGTACGTGTCGCTATAGATTTCACATTTTATCGTATTGTTGTTGGGCTTGATCGAGATCTCTTCTTTTAACTTTGCATTCTTGTCGACCGGATGTTTTTTCGGTAGATGCTCGTTAATGTAGTTTTCAATGTCACTAATTTCGTACGACCCGGTCGGAATGTTTATTACGTTCTCGTGGTTGTCCTCGTCGAAATAATACAACTTATTCGAGCCGTTCTCAATGTTGGGGATGTTATTGTACGAGTGGAATCCGATCAGAGCCAAACCGTACTCTACGCCTTCGTCCAAATGCAGCGGATTGACAAAGTCGATGGACAAAACCGAACTGTGTCCCTTCAACGTAAAGATGACGGACATGTTCTCTTTTGGGGGGAGGCGCGCGCTCCCTCGCTTTTATAGAGAAATTGCAAGCATAAATGGCCGCAATTGTACTGTATAAATTTTTGATATCGGTCGTGATTGTAGTAGATGTTGACGCCATTACCGCCGAAGTATTTAACCAATTCGACGGGCGGTTTTAGGTTACCGAAACTGTCGAAATAGTCGACATCCGTCCCCATTTTCTTGTAGGCTACCCAGTGAGTTCCTCGATTTCGACTCAAGTCCAAATTAACTATACCACACTCTTTCGATCTGATTCGTTCGGGTAAGGTGTCTCGCATAAAGACACCCCTAAAATAAGGTATTTTTAACTTGCGTGCCGCCGCCACTAAATCGATATCGTATAGGGCTCTTCTGGGCAGCTTTATAGGAAGTTTTTTTGCTTCTTCAGGTAGAGACCGAATCCGCCGCTCGGACTCTTTTTCAAAAATAACCCCGAATCGGTCTTCCCGATCTCTTCCATTGCGCGGTCGTGTCGAATGTCCTACTCTAGTTTCTTTCGTGCGTTTTGCACATCGATGACTGTTTTGGCAATGGCAGCGGCACCGCCCGAGAGCGAACCCAAAGCCCCCAGGGCACCCAATAACGGTAAAAGGGGTAAAATTCCCCCCTTCTTCTTCTTCTTCGATTCGAACGGTATAATGCGGGGCACCTTAATTTTTTTACGCCCGCCCGCCTTTTTGACGGCGTCTCTGCCCGCCCGAAGCGCCTCCGACGCACCGCGCTTTAAAGTTGTCGGATTATCGTGGTGCAACAATTGTTTTTCTTCAATGCGTTGCAAATTTTTTTAACGATCCCCTGTCGAAAGGAAACGGGGCTACGCTGCTTGCGGGATACTTTAATTTTCTTGCGACCACCCGCCTTCCTTTTTTTTAGCCCCGAGCGACGACGTTTCTGCTGCTGCTGCTGCTTCCGCTGCTTTGGTTGACCCATACCGAGCTTGCGTTTGGCCTTAACTGTGGCAGTGACAAGGAACGCTCCCGCTTTTTCACCAAACTTCACGTCTTTCGCTTTTACTCGCTCCCACGCACGCTTTTCCAACTCTTTATCCGCTTTGTGGCGCTCCTCGAGCGATTGGTGTTGCGAATAAGCAATATCGTGTTCCGTACACGCCGCGTCCAAAGGATTCACGCCGCTATCGCCGCGACTAAGCCGTTTTTTCAATTTCGTCCCCGGTCCGCAAAATTGATAACCGGGAAGGTGTAGTTCGAAAGGTAGCTTATTTATCAGCGTGTTAACGAGGCCGCTTCCGGACGCAAAGTATAACATACTGACAAAATAAAATTACGGAGTGTCTATATATATATACAGGGGGGGAGTTGGTTGAAGTAATGCCGCACTCTCCCTCATCGAAAATTTAGATTCTGGTTTCGTTTAAAGATTTTTTTAAAAGAAGAAGAAGAAGAAGAAGACCCTCCTCGATAAATATTTGTTATTGTATATATAGTTTTCTTTAATTAAACTTGGACGGGGTGACGCAGCCGCTGATAGGAATAATGTCGAAAGCGCGCGCGCGCGCGACATCTAGCGGCAACGGGACGAAACCGACGGTACATAATTAGCTCGGCATTAAAGTGACCGTTCAACGACGGACGGGTTTTCTGTCGAGAGCGCGCGCGCGACATCAAGCGGCAACGGGACGGAACCGACGGTACATAATTAGCTCGGCATTAAAGTGACCGTTCAACGACGGACGGGTTTTCTGTCGAGAGCGCGCGCGACATCGCGGGGGGGGCGGGCACTCTACCAGCGGCAGCCCCCGGGACTCTACCAGCGGCAGCCCCCCCCGCGCGGGGCCCCCGAACGGCACGCGGGCGAACTACGCACCACGGACCACGGTTTGGTTGGCACCACTGACAACGGTTGGCACCACGGACAACGGTTTGGTTGGCACCACGGACGACGGCTTGGTTGGCACCACGGACAACGATTTGGTTAGGTTGGCACCACGGACGACGGTTTGGTTAAGTTAGGGCGAGTGACCAATTGGCGAGTGACCTTGAACGAATGGGAGAGCGGCCAATGGCCGAACGGCTAGACACACAAAAGAAGAAGACCTATGGGCGAGTGGCCCATGAGCGAAAAGAAGGAGACCCGTGGCCGAGTGGCCCGGGGCGGGGGGCCTGTGGCCGAATGGCCAAAAAGTGAGGTTATGGGGTCCCTGGAAGTCCCTTTATCCATCTACTAGCATTATTAAAGAATTTGTATAAATTTATACCAAATTTTGTCTTTGCTTGGGTTCTTAATTTATTATTATGATCGGTATAACATTTCAACCAACAAGTTTGGTTAAATTTTAATATTTTGTGAATTTTCTTTAGTACGAGGCCGTTTTTGAGAGCCTGTTTTAAATTAAATTTATTATACAAAGTAGTCATTAGTTTTGGTAACTTTGAATTGGGGGGCACTCGATGTTCGGCACAAAATGGAAAATCTCTATGTGTGTCATGTAATTTCTGCGGGTATTCCAGATCTACCCGTGTGGGGTTGCTAGTCCCCCATCGGGCGCCTCCCCAGGTGGCGGATAGGGGGATGCCTCCCAGATATGGGTGGTACTGGGGAAATGAAATACCCAGGGCGGACCAAAACTAGCATGACACAGGGCAGTAGCTGTGGCATTACTGGTTTGGAGGCTATTGAAGAATGACTTCTCTAAGGACCCAAAGTCAGATACCTACAGGCGATAATCACATAAAGATTTACTCGGCTGTAACACTACGCCACAGAAAGGAGAGGGACCCTACTGTGCGAATATGTATCCCTAGAAAACTCATCATGGACTCTAACTCGAAGACATATGGTAAGACGCCATGCGACCCGATTGGCAATCGGCGCTCGAGCCCCAGGAATACGAGTGTGAAATTGGTTACTGGCTATAGGAGAGTAGGTGACCAGGCATCCTATAGAAAATATGCGACTGGAAAACGGAAATCAAAACCGACAATGCACAGGATATGCACATGGAATGTGCAAGGTATGAACAAAATCGGTAAACTGGCCATCATCGAGAAAACACTCACCAATGTCCCCATTACCGGAATATCAGAAACTCACTGGAAAAATAGTGGACACTACACAACTGAGTATGGCAATCTTTTGATATGCTCTGGAAACGAAAACCACAGCAGTAACGGTGTGGCCTTTCTGATACATAAGAACTTTAAGGAATCTATTTTGGGATACGAAGCTATCAACGATCGAATAATTACCCTGAAAGTGCAAGCAAAACCGGTCAACCTAAACCTCATGCAAATCTATGCCCCCACATCGACATGCCCTCAAAATGAAATAGACAACTTTTATGGTATACTCTCGAACACAATAACCAGAATGCCTAACAGAGAGCCTTTAATCGTACTGGGCGATTTCAATGCGAAGATTGGCGAAACGAAGACCGATACACATCTACGAACGGTAGTAGGAAAATATGGCATAGGAGAAAGAAATGAACGTGGTCAAATGCTTATCGAATTCTGCGCGGAAAACGAACTATACATATCTAATTCCCATTTCCAACATCATATTAGAAAAATATATACCTGGAGATCTCCTGATGGACATACACGCAATCAGATTGACTACGTTCTTATCAAGAGAAGATGGAAAAGTTCTATTAGAGATGTGAAGACCTATCCTGGCCTGGATTGTGGAAGTGACCATAATGCTCTGGTCGCGGAAATCTGTCTCAGACTGCAGCGCAACAAACGCCGTCCTCCAAAAACCAACCCATGGTACAATGGAAAAAACGAGATCTTTCAAAATGCAGTCAAAGATAATCTTGACAAAATATCGCAAGAAAAAATCAACCAAATGAACTCCGATGAACTCTGGACAGAAATGAAACACTCTATTGAGCTCGCTGCCGAATCTGTAAAACCTGATAAAAACCAACCAAGGAAACCATGGATAACACAAAGCACCTGGGAAATGATCTCCGAGCGAAACAACTTAAAAATCAAAGGACTACAGGAGAACGAAGCCCAAGAGACATATGGAGAACTGAGCAAAGCCATTAACAGAAGGCTTAGGATTGACAAAAATGCGTACATTGCTTCAGTATGTGAGGATATCGAAAAACATGCAAACCAAAACCAACCACGGGATCTATTCCAAAAAGTGAAGATGCTCTCAAGAACCTTCCAACTACAGTACCTTCCAATTAAAAATACCACCGGTGTAAGATTGACCACGACACCTGAAATTGTAGAAAGATGGCGTCAATATTGCGAGAATCTTATGGCCGCTGAAGAGATGGACCTACCAGAGAGCCTGTCACTTGAAGCTCGGGTACGTGAACCACAAATTCTGAGAGACGAAGTTGAAACAGCTCTTAAAAAACTTAGGGACAGAAAAGCGCCAGGCTCAGATAATATTGTAGCGGAAATGTTAAAATGCACTGGAGGCAAAGGTATTACCTTGCTGCACCAAATCTGTCAAAAGGTATGGGAAACGGGAAAATGGCCAAAAGAATGGACGAAATCTGTATATATCCCATTACACAAAAAAGGCCCAAAAGACGACTGCAGTAATTATAGAACAATTGCTTTAATAAACCACGCAAGCAAAGTGCTACTGTACATCATACAAGGAAGGCTCAAAAATTACCTCCTCCCCAATATACCCCCAGAACAAGCAGGTTTTATGCCAGGACGAGGAACAAGAGATCAAATTCTAAATGTGAGACAGATGGTGGAGAAGCTCTTTGAATACAATGTCTCTGCTATGTTATGCTTCTTGGATTATAGCAAGGCCTTCGACACGGTGCACTGGAATAAAATGTGGTACGTTTTAAAAGAAATGGGAGCCCCCGACCATCTAACCTACCTTATTAAACAGCTATATGACAACAACCTAGCCCAAATAAAAATAGGAAACGAATACTCAGGAAATTTTAGAGTTGGAAAAGGCGTAAGGCAGGGATGTATTCTCTCCCCCATACTCTTCAACATTTATGGAGAATGGATAATGAGGAAGGCGTTGGGGAACTGGAAGGGTGGCGTATCTATTGGAGGGAAAAAGATATCAAACCTTCGATACGCAGACGACACTATCGCAGTGGCTAAAAACGAACAAGAAATGTGTGTACTATTACAACGAATCGAGCAAGTAAGCCTGGAGTGCGGACTGCGACTAAATAGATCTAAATGCCACCTGATGATAATAGACCGGGCAGGAACATTTCCTTTACCACTGCAGCAAGTCCATGACATAGAAGTTAAAGAAGAGGTTATTTATCTGGGCACGAAGATAACAAATAGAGGTGGTTCAGAACAAGAGATTAAAAGAAGAATTGGGATGGCAAAGGAGGCTTTGGGAAGGCTGGTTAAAATCTGGAAAGACCACCGTATCCGCAAGGAAACTAAAACAAGACTTGTGAAATCTTTAGTGTTCCCCATTGCAGAGTATGGCTCGGAATCCTGGACCATAAATGCTGCATCTCGAAGAAGAATTGAGGCGTTTGAAATGATATGCTACCGAAGAATGCTGAGAATACCCTGGACAGCATACCGCACCAACGCATCCATCTTAAGAGAACTAAAAGTACGGGAAAATGAGAGATTATTACCAACAATACAACGACGTATGCTTAAATTCTTCGGTCATGTAATACGAAAGGACGGTATGGAAAAACTCATGATACAGGGGAAGGTTGATGGAAAAAGGACAAGAGGAAGGTCACCAGTGAGATATATAGATCAAATAAAGGAGCTCACACAAATGTCGGTCTCACAAGTGATGCGTACTGTAGAGGACAGAGAAGCCTGGCGAAGGGTCACTACACAACATCCATGAACGAGTCACGACGTCCGAAAACGGACAACGACTGAAGAGAGAGAGAGATTCCAGATCTACCTCTAGGATATATCCTTGGGAAGATTCATCTGGAATGTTCATGACATTAAATGAATCAATCTCTTGATGAGACATCCAGTCGAATCCTCCGTAAGGAAGAGGCTCGCACATGGCTTTGCCATAGTGGTTATTGACGTTAAAGTACATGATATAGGAATCATCTCTGGATGAGTCGTAGTTGGGCATATATTTATTGTTGGCCTCCGCGTATCTACCAACACACACCGAAATTCCACCTCGTATAGCCCGCTCGATAAACATAATTTGGTCAATGTCGCGCAAAAGTTCTAAACGACATTTTGTGAATCTAAGCATGCAATCCCATGTATACCCGGGCATACTGAAATACTATGCCGGATCCAAAACATGTGTTGCCATACAAGTTTTTCGAAAATTTTCGAATATATCTGCCAGAAGAATAACGTCGGTTTTTAAATACAAATCTGAATACTCGCCTAAATTTTTTATTTCAAACGGCTGCCAAACACTTTGTGCGTGGGAATATTTTTCTGCACTGATATTGCTTTCACTTAATTTATTATAGAATTCTTCAATCGGCGGTAAAGTTGTTTCATTTAATTTGTCTATGTGGTCGATGTAATCGTAACAAAAAATACCTTTTTGGGACAGTAAATTTAATTTTGATTCGTCAAGATCGGAAAATTCTTTTCTTAAAATATATAGTTCATTTTTATTCATACTGGAAACTAAATTATCCAGTGATGCTCCCAAAAATCTAAACTAATCTATAAATCTAAATTTTATGTTATAATCAGGTTCGAAATATATAAAAGAGATGTATTTTTCCTTATTAACCGGAACTATGGATACACAACTTTTTTTTACTAAAACCGGAAGCAGGAAGTGGCTATCGTATCCAGAAAGTTTCTGGAATACTACGGGCACTACAAATATTTTTTTAAAATTTAAATTACAAGCCTGATGGGCAAAACCTCTAAATTTGCCAGTAAAATGATCATGGTCACGAACAATAACATCTTCTTTTAAAAAAGGTTTTTCACAAATATAACAATGGCTCGACCTTTGATCTAGACTAATTTCACTATCCATCGGTATAATATCCTTAAATTTTGAACGAACAAATTTTGATAAATTAGATATTTCCTCCACGAACCAATCAATACAATCTAGACCACGATAACTTTTGAAAAATGATATTGAATCATCATAACAACATTTAAAGTAATATGCAGCACTGTAAGCTTCGTGCTTTTGGTATTTCGAGGTTTTTTCTGAAATTTTCAAATTTACTTTTCTCAATTGACTCTCAAAATCGGCGTAAATTACAAACGGAGTCATTTGTTTATATATATGGTTTCGAAATTCAACATGATCATATTTGGGAAAAGACACTTTATACTCATTGAAACTGGAACACACTGTTTCATGGTCATGTAGACGAGTTTCGTTATTGAAATAATTCAAACACCTATCGCAAATGTATTTCTTGTGATTATATTTACTGAGCTGTGAGGAAACTAATCGAGACAAATTTTTAATGTAACAATAGTGATATTGTATTTCTTCATGATCATTATCTTGCGGATCAGGATCAAAATCATTAACTTTTGGATAATATTTATTTTCTATTTTGAGTGTTTTTCGCGTTTTTCTTTTGTTAATCATGCAGGTTGCACGGAATAAAAACTAGTTTTTTCATTTTTATTAAATTCTAAGATATAAACATTGATGGAAATATCATTGTCTTTTTCAAATTTGCCTATTTTATTCATTTCCATAGGTGTTTGTAAATTTTCAGTTTTCAAAACACTTTTGTAGTATGGATATGAGGAGGGTAAATACTGACGAAAACGTGCTGGAAAGAGTCCGCATACAACCGACCAATAAAAACACGCTTGATCGTCATTTCTAATATTAATACAAGCCCTTTTATTCGCAATTTCTTTAGGCAACTCAACGAAGGATGATGCGTTACCCATTTCAAATTTGTTAATGTTAATCTCTAAATAAATAATATTATTTAAAGCCCACCCGGAATCACGTTCCTGAAACTAGGACATTTGATTTAAAATTTTATCTTGCACATTTTCAACAAACCAATCATTCAATTCTGTTCCTAAATCAACTGCAGCATTTCCGGTACTCAGATATTTAACATCAACTTCGCCTTGGACATCATTTTTTGCCTTAATAAATTCAACGCAAAATGTGGTATTTACTTTCATCAATAAAAATTTCATTAAAATTTGACTAATTTTTTGTTGAAAAATTGGACGACAATCGTTTAAAAATTGAATTAAATTTTTATGAAGTAAATTAATTATGACACCGGTCTGAACTCTTCCCTGGAAACACGACGCTACCGATTCCCATACAACCATTTCATTTGTGTTTGTCTCGCGGCTGCTACTTTGTAATCCCAATCCAAAATGCTTATGTTGATAATTAAGAATAATTTTTCTAATAGCTTTCAGATGTTGAATTGTAGTTTGTAATTTTCTTTTTAACCCAATAGATAAATCCTTTTCGTTAGAAACGATTTGGTTGCAAGATTCAATATTTTTATTTAGTCTCCTAAGCCACACATCACTGTCTCTAAGAGTGAACTTGTCGGAAATATGCTTTTTTAATTTTTGTAAGGTTAAAATTAAAATTTGCGCCCTATGAATGATCTGCTTTACGCGCATCGTGGTTTATTAAATATATAACAGTAAATAAGACTTACCCTGTATAATATGTTGATTAATTTTGAAATATTTTGAATTTTTTTAAAGAGTTGGGCTTTCCAATATCTTTGGATCCCTCGTAGACCAGTTTGTACTGCCCCGACGCAAAGTATTCTAGTCTCGGACGGAAAGCTTCTGTCACGCGAGTGGGAAGAAATACCACGGAATTTTCTAATTGCAGCAACACGGAATTGCCAAATTTTGTATTAACAATTTTGGCTCTAGTAATTTTAAACGGAACGCCTATCGGCAATTCATGTAGTTTGACAATCGGCTGCTCAAAATCACCTTCTGCAAGACAGGTTTGATTCAGTTCACTTAAGTCCATCTATAAATTATTATTAATTATTATTTTATCTCAAAAATAAAAAAAATAAAAAAACTTACGCTTAAGATTGCTGCTATTCTAGTTGCGGTTACGGGTTGAGAGTATTAAGATGATCTTTAAGACCTTTATAAAATAATAACAAATGTTAAAGAATTAAAATAAAACAATAAAAAAGGTACTTACTGCTTTTTGGTACGAACACCAAACCACTAAGTTAGCTTCCACGTTGCACGAATAATACCAAAAACATCTACTGACAAAACATAGAAAAATGAAATGTATTTATACGGTGCGACAGACCAATTTTATAAATAAAATAAAATATATTAAAATTCAAGTTTATTTAATTATCGTCCCGATCCCCCGCGCCACCGCGCCGTACCGTCACCGCCCTCTACCGGGGGGGCCTACGACGGTCGGAGCGTGCGACATCTAGCAGCGACGGGCGGAACCGGTGCAAAACAGGACGCTACACAAGGTGGGTGGGGGGGCAGAGCGCACTCTGGTAGCCAAGGGGGACACTAGGACGGGCCGGACCGTCACGCGCAGGGGGCCCCCGCTGCTAGGGGGTTAGGAAATTGAGGTTATGTGCGGTTTTTGCTTCTTATATCGGTACTATATATCTACTATACCCGTCATATTTCATAATTTAGGATACGATCAAATTTTTTTCATTAAAAATCTAGCTGCCGAAATACGCCTATAAGCCTAATAGCCTATGACGGTATTACCTCTTAACAAGGAAAAGTATATAGCATTCACAAAATATATCGAAAACACAAGCAGTTATTTTCGATTTTTGGATTCGTTTCGTTTCATGGCGAGTAGTTTAGATAAATTGAGTTCTTATTTAGACCCAAATGAAAAACATATTACTCGGGTTGCTGCAAATACGCGGAAAAATTTAATTTACTCTCGAAAAAGTGAGTGCTTCCATACGAATATCTTGACAGTTGGGAAAAGTTGACTGAGACAAAATTATTATTACTTGGTATCGCCGGCCTTGCGTCGCTTTGGCTACCCTGCGCCGCGCCGGGCACCTGCGCGTGCCCTCTTCTTTTCTTTATTTCCTCTTATAATGGCCACTGCGGTTGAAAGCAATAGTAAAGTTTATTCGTGTATTTTGTAATATCTGTGTCTTTTTATTGAATAAACGTTTTGTTATTTCCAGCACCCTGGTGAGAGTGCCGATTTGGAACGCTTGTCGCCACTGGCCGGATTGCCTCGCGGTGTGGAGTGCCGGGGTGCTTAATTTCGTTTTATTTAACAACGCGCTAACGGCTTATGACCCCTGTTTGGTCGCTGGTTCCCGGAGGGCCATGCAGGGCTAGCTGTCTAGAGCGGCTGCGGCGTAAGTAGGCACTAGATCTTGGGTAGCTTTAACACTTTCCATTCCCCTCGAAACGAGCGTCCTATTCCATCCTCTCCCCCTGCTACCAACATAAGCCGCCACTAAGGATGTCGCAACCAATATCCCTCGCCATGTACGCCCCCGCCTTCCCTATGGAGCATACATCGGCCCGGCGGCATCCTTCCAATCCTTATCTACACGCCAACCAAAATCGCACTTCCTTGCGCCCCGCTACTGAACCGTCTGGTACCTCGGTGGCTGTTCCACCACCGGGCGGTTTACCCTTTGATAGTGACCCACCCCTCCCTAAGTAACACAAACTCCCGTAGCTCTACTACCCCCTTCCTTACCCTCGGCCCATCCCTACTGGTGTACTGTTATCATTATTACGGCATGAGGCACCCATGGCCCTTGACACCCTCCCCGTGTGGGATCTATCCCCGTGCCGTGCGCCCCGAGTTGCTCTCTTACTGCCCCCCCCCCCCCCCTCGTATTACGCCAGCACGGCTGGGTCGTTGAGCCCGTAACTGGGTCGGTGCGCTCGCCTGACCTGCTGGGTTTTTTCCGAGCAGGAACCGGCTCACCGCACAGATAACTAGGCCCGGTCGATGGCCTTTTCGGCGGTTGCTAGGAACCAGCTTTTCAGTTCACCATACGGGTAACTGGGTCATGTGCCGGCTGGCTATCGAAAGGTACCGGCCGTTGGTGCTAGTCACCTTCGACCTCTCACTCGATCGGCCTTGCGTGGAAATCGCTATCGTCGTGATTTTTCCGTCGGGTGCCTGGCCGTATGTTTTCTGCTAACGGTTTCCCCGCTCCTTAACGGCTGTTTCGTTTCGCGCTTCTTCGAGCAGCCCGCTTCTTTGGGGCTGCCCCCGCCCATCGCTACCATAATGTACGCTACCTCTGCCGTTGGCCACGTTGATCTAGCCTCCTTCGCCCGCGAGGATGCCCGAGCGGGGGCGGAGAGAAGAGTGCTTCTAAGTTGGCACGAGACCAGCGTCGGGCCTCTGAGTATGTTGCGCGTCAGAGGGTAAGCTGGACGTGTCTGTCTGCGGAAACTGACGGGCTGCACGTGAGCGTGTTCTGCGGTGTGGCCGTTGTGGCGCTTGCCAGACCCTGCCGGTCTCTTGCGGTGCTGCCTTGCCGGGCTTCCTTGCTTTTCAAAATAAATAACAACTAAAAGTTCAGATTTCACGAAATTATATAATTTTACATGACAATTGTTTCCACAACACCGTGTCTTTATCGAAATAATTGTCATGTAAAAATATATAATTTCATGAAAATTTGAACTTTTAGTTCTTATAACCTCAGTTCAGTCCTTTCTTTTCTATTGGCCTCTTTCATTCAGGGGCCTTGCTCGGCCGACTTAAAATTAGACTCTTAAGTCTAATTTTAAGTGTAGCCTTAGTGTAGCCTTAGAATTAGTGGTTAGTGTTTTGTTGGGCCGCTCGGACGCATTTTGTGTGCCGGGATATGTCCAGCTCGAGTTCTCCTGCGTACATCTGCGTGGAGTGTGGGAGGCGCTATCCTACATCTAACAGCAACATCCAGGAGCTACTGTAAGAGGCCGGATGTCGATGCTCCTAATAGATGCGCCCTGTGCGACCGCGAGTTCGCCACCTATGCGGGCTTGCGGCAACACATGCGCAGGGCCCAACCGGGGTCATACCAAGACTCTCTCGAGGCCGCGGAAAATAGGAGTAGCGATCCCATTTCCGAGCTGAAGCGGTCGTCTATCTGCCTGGAGCACCTGGGGTACGAGGGGAATGCTACTTAATCGGCACTTTGCCGAGAAGTTCAAATGTACCATAGACGCGATCCGGAACCTTCGGCAGCTCCGCGGTTACGTTGCCCTACGAGAGCGACTAGAAGCGGAGCAGAAGGAGGCGCCAGACCACCCCTTACAGTCACCGCCCCGCTACGCTTCCTACGATATGGCAGGGCTTGGGGTTTCATCCATACGTCGCCCTGAGTCTCGTGTCGTGGGTCCTTAAGGGTGGCTCCATTGTCCACAGGTACTTTGGAGCGGCAACTTGGGGCAGTGGTCTGCGTTGTATTTAAGTAATTTAATCAGATTAAAACAAGAAGATTTGCTTTTGGTTACTGAGTTTCGACGAGGTGCTTTTGGAGTAAGACGCACGAAGGCAAATTTCGCTAGATCACCTGTTGATTAACGCTGGAACAAACCATTAACGCTGATGCCAGTAATCAATTATCAAATAATCTTGCCGCAGAATCCATATCTGCACGGCAAAGATTGGCTCTTAACCACAGCATGAGGACAAAAATATTGACTGCCGTTAAAGAAAATGTTGGTTTAACGCAGAAAGATGATACATCATATTCTTTACAAAAAAGTAGAATAAAGGATCAAAATAATCTGCACAGCATTATTTCAGCAATAAAAAATCTCATCAATCTATTTGATAGTAATATTGATAAAGAAGTTCTATTCAACATTTCTACTGGTAAATCAGCTTCTCCGGATATTACAAATTTTCTGCTCAATGTTAAATCAAAAGGAAATAAACGAAAATCAAATTTTATTTCTGAATGTCAGTCAACAATCGGAGGAACAAAATTCTCAACTTTGCTTGCCATGGAGCAACAAAAGTTTTGAAAAGTACAAGTAAACAAGCTGTATTAAAAATGGAACGTGATATATTCGGTCGCTTACTAGCTATTAGTTTGGAAAAAAAGTAAATATAGAATACTGTTTAACATTTCCACTAGCTTCAATTCTTGCACTTTTCTCTTGTACCGGTGAAATGTTGAAAATGGACAAATCTGCATTGGCTAAAATATTAAAATCTGAAGTCCAAATTGTTCAACCGCCACAAATTGACTTTGAAGTTGTTGATGTTTTTTACTTCCTACATCTTATTGGATCTTCGATGCCACAAACTTTTGACAAAGTTGCTGAGTCTGTCCTCATAAAACTGTGTTCAAGTGCTGCTAAGGAGATACACATAATTTGTTATCTGTATTTAACTTCTTCAATCAAAGATTCAGAGCGATAAAACGGACAAGCGTTTGAAGTTCCATATACAATCACAGGACCTCAAAAATCTAGGCCTACTGATTTTTTTGGAAATCTTAAAAATTATCACTTCAAAAACGCTTTGGTAAAGTTTTTAGCAAATTATTGGGGAAATGATCATTTGGTAATGGTAATTCAAACAAAAATTTTTTTTTAACTGTTGAGAAACAATGCTACTCGTACGAATCGATAGCAAATCGTGTTGTTAAAACTGAATAAATTAATTATGAGTGTTATCACGAAGAAGCGGATACGCGAATTATGTATCATATCCGTAAAAATTTTACCAACGTCAAAAATCTTAGTGAAGGCCTCTGATACTAATGTATTGATAATTAGCTGCGTTAATTGTACTGAATTAGCAACAAAGTTAGGGGTCTCATAAAGTTTACCGGCGTTCCACGCTTTTACAGACTGTGACTATACTGCAGCTTTTTACAATAAAGGAAAAGTCAGGCCTTATAAAATTTTTGCAAAAAATGAAACTTATCAGAAAGTTTTTGTCTCATTAAAAGATAGTGCCGATCTTTTTATAGACGAAAAAATTGACGTGGTCCAACAATTTACTGCTGTTATGTACGGCATAACAAATTGCACAAGTGTTAATCATGCAAGATATCGCATTTTTCAAAAAAATATTCAGCCAATAAAAGTAATGAACAATTTTTGAGAAAAATTAGAAGCTTTAATTCCAACACAATTCCACCTTGCTGGAGATCGTTGAAACAAAAAATTCTACGAACAATATACGTGAATGCCATGTGGCTCAATGCTACTGATCCGTGCTGTGCTCAGCTGCAACCCGAAAATTGTGGATGATATATAGATGACAAATTATCAAAATCAAAAGTTCCTTGGAGATCCGACGCCCTTGCAAGTTGATGACATTTTGCAGGCTACAATTGAAGAAAAAGATGACGATAATTCTGAATTCGATTTCAATATTGCAAGTTCTGATGAATCAGATAAAGAATAATTTTTGGTATTATAGTAATTAATCTTAATTTAAGGATAAAAAATACTTTTATAACGTTTTATAACAATGAAAAATATTTTTTCAACAATTAACTACTTAAATTATTTTTAATATTGAATCTAATAACATATTTTATTTTTAATATTTAATATTTCTATTTTTAATTATTTAATTAGTTTAATAAGTATGATATAAGAATTTTTTAAAAAGTAATGTAATATAAAGTAAAACTTGTTAATACACGCTAAAAAAATTATATTCTTTAATTGCAATAAATTTTAAATCATTTTACAAATTTTTAAAGCTAATAATGCCATAACGTGGTAAGGTTCCAAAATAATTTTAAGTGGGGGAATATATTTATCTTTGTCTTATACACAGAGAACTGAACACACGCATCTCTTTCTGTCAAGAGTCTTATGCGCATCTGTTATTGTAAAAAAATATAGCGCTCGCAGTCACACTTTATTTTTACATGAAATTATTGAAACTTTAGATCGTGTCAATTATTAGCTTTGCCACGATTTGGAAAGTCAATCATATATCGTTGGGTTCGTAATAAAATTCTGTATATTTACATATTTAATTTTGAAAGAAAAAGAATGAGGGTAAATCACTATATCCGATTACCTGTTTACATCTGGTTGACACGTATTGTTGCCTAAAAAAAGGTAGTCAAACTTTGTATGGCATTTTCTATATACTTTTTTTCTTTGATTGAGACTAAATTTATAAAGAAAAATACTGACTGTAACCAAGAAAAAAAATGAAATTAATTAATTTTTAATTAAAATAGTCTTGCTAAGATCATCATCAATAATTTCTCATTTGATTAGTCAATAAGTTTTATTATTAGAAAAAAATATTTTATCACGGAAAAGAATGAGGGGTGTTAAATATTTAGTCAATGAACTTTTAACCTTTAACTTCAACATCCCTAGTGGTTACCTAATATTTTATGCACTATATACACGAATAAGATACGAAAGAATGACTTTTTTTATTTGGTGTGCAAAACGGCACAACATAAAATTATCTAGGATTACCTATTTCTTTGCATGATATTCGCGAAAACACGGAGTCAAGCAAAGCCCTGGCATATTCGGACACAATGGACAATAAAAAAGTGAGTTATTCCTTAGTTTTTTTGTTCCCAGCAAACTTGGCATCGCCTCCGTTTTGCTCTTATTTTAGCTTGCTCACCTTTGGGACAGAATTCGGGAAGATGTGTTATTCTGAGCTTTGGAACAGACGCTAGTGGTGGTGGACCCACTAGGTTTTCAATAAAGGACAATCTGTATTCATAAAAGGATTTCTTATTGTTGGGACTGCCCTTTTTATAACGGTAATAAGAAGTGAGTAACATTGCTTGCGCAATGTGAATAGCATATGCATAGTACATGAGTAGTACGATAACATTTGATCACATTGTCATTGTCAAAGTTTTCTTTCATAAGAGCTAAAACAACTTTTTCACTATGGCCTTCCCCAAATCTGCCAAATCTGCAGAACCAGCATACACCAACATTTTAAGAGCGGTTCCGTTGGGTTCACATAAGACGTACAAGTTTATTCCAAACTTGTGTCTTTTGCCTTTTATATATTGACGAAATTGCGGATGGCCCCGCCCTAGATTCGTCAATGGACAATTCCTGGATGGATAATAAATTTTTATTATTGTATCATTATAAAAATTTATCAAGAGCATTATTTTTCCGTGTCCGGTTCTTCACTGTCGGTATCGTCAATCCGCAAACATCTTAATATTAATAAGAACCAATTTGGTACACATCATTGGGTAAACGATATTTGTCTCTATGTACCCTTATCGTGTGTCCTATGAAGTTGGCAACTGTTCCAAATTGGTTTCTGACATATCAAAATAGTTGTGTTAATGTTGCTAAGTGTTTGCGGAGTTTAGTTGCTGTGATAGCCATAGGATTTTGTGGCCCGCAGGCCTCGGCATACTTTTTTAGGACTTTGTAGCCACATATAGGCTCCATTGACCGGGGATTTCCAAACAGGACCAAATTTCTATCACAGGCATATTTTTTACGGTAAACCAACAAAACTGTTATGTATTCCTTTAACGTGAAATGAAACTCGACCACGACAATGCAACCGTTTACTCACGACTCCGTACAATACGCGGCCCGGCAGGTGACTGCCGTGGATCGCCCTAGGAAAACGTACCGCATCACGGTTTACAAAAAAACCTAAACTAAACTGCGATATAAAAAAACTCGCATATAGAACACCTTCCCCCTATAATAAACTGAAACTAACTTAACTCTAGTGGTGTTTATGTACACTTGCATTTAGATATGAGTGTCACGTTTACTTGGCGACTTGTAAACGATCTGGAGGGTTAATCTTACTACGTCTACGAAGTTTTCACTGGGTGAGATAATGTCTTCACTTTCTGAGTCCGATGTTTCGCTATCGCTAGACCTAACTGACGTTACAGTATTACTTGATCTGTTTCTTGTTACGTTGGAAGGTGGAGTCATCGAGGAGTTTTTTTTATTTGGGGCTGTCATGGAGTTTTCCTTGCTGGGGCAAGAATTGTCGTATACAATGATACTTTTTTAACTGACTTGAATGTCTTTTCCATGTGACTCCACCGACCAACTCAACCACGTAAGTTCTTCGGCCAAGTATATCTCGAACTACCCCTTGACACCACCTGCTTTTATCCGTGTTTGGACGGTAGTCCCGGGTCCATACCTTCTCCCCAATTGAAAACGACAGTTCCCCTTTCTTTTTGCGCTTAAGTTCTATTTTGTTTTGTTTTTCTTTTACAATATTTTCGGTCGAAGGTAAAATTAAATCAAATCTAGTGCGTAAAAAGCGACCAAAAAGTATTTTTGCTGGACATTCTTGGGCCGTAGTGTGCGGTGTATTGCGGTATTGAAAAAGAAAAGTATCTAAAATAAGTTGTAAATCGGTCACCCCATCCGCATATCCTTTGCGTAACGCTCTTTTTGCAATTTTGACGCCTGATCCGGCCAGCAGTTCGTTTCCGGATAATATGGAGCACCCGCTTTGTGAATGATCCCCAAACTTGCCAAAAAATTTTGGAATTCCTCGGACATAAAAGTCTGACCGTTATCGGTGGAAACTTCTTTTGGGAGACCAAAACGAGCAAATAGAGCTCTGAAGATTTTTATGGTTTGTGCAGAAGACATGTCTGAGACTATGAAACATTTTAGCCATTTTGAAGTGGCATCTTCAATTACTAAAAATGTTTTATTTAAAAATGGTCCGAAAAAGTCAGCGTGAACACGAGTCCATGGTTCTTTAGGAGTATCCCACATAATTAAAGAAGGTTTCGCGGAGTTTTCCGAATAAAGTGCACATGTTTTGCATGAACGCGCGATTTTCTCGATAGAATCGTCGATTTTTGGCCACCAAACATATGAACGCGCCAAGGCTTTCATTTTAACGATTCCGGTATGAGTTAAATGTAATTCCCCCAAAATACTGTCATAGAAGACTGGAGGCACAATTAGACGGTAACCCCACATTAAACAACCATGTTCTACAGAAATTTCATGTTTTTTAAGAAAATAAGGTTTAAAAACTGTAGAGGGCCAACCGTTTCGAACATAAAATAGAATTTTGCTCAAAACGACATCTTTTGAGGTTTGCTCTTTAATATTTTGGAAATTAACTGGGAATTTTGAATTTTCGATGTAATTTAAATATGAAATTTGATCTTGTTTCCCCGAGTCGAATAGTAACGGATTGCTGGCATGGTGAAACATATTTTTAGTGTTTCCCCTTAACCGAGATAGGAAATCAGAGTAGTTTTGTTTGGTATTGACATACTTAATTTCGAAACGGAATGAAGATAGAATGTATGCCCATCTTTGCAGGCGGTTGGCTGCAAAAACTGGCAACCCTTTTTTGTCGCCCAGTATTGCCAAAAGAGGTTTATGGTCTGTGTACAGTGTGAACTTGATGCCGTAAAGGTATTGGAAGAACTTTTTGACCTCGAATATTATTGCTAGAGCCTCTTTGTCGAATTGGGAATAGGCGAGTTCGTTTTTATTTAACAACCTTGAAGCGAACGCGATGGGTCGCTCAGTTCCGTCTGTGTAGGTATGACTAATTATTGCCCCTAGACCTATACTGCTGGCATCTACCAATAATTTGATTGGTAATTTTGGGTCAAAATGGGCCAGCACAGATGGAGATACTACATATCCTTGATTTTATCGAAGCTATTTTGGCAAGCCGGTGTCCATTCCCAAGGGATGTTTTTTTTAATAAACTGTATAAAGGATGGACGACGCGTTCGGTAAGAATTTAACATAATAATTGACGACCCCGAGAAATGGCTTAAGTTCTGTGATATTGGAAGGTACCTTGGTTTTGACCACTGCTTCGACCCTTTCATTGGTTTTGTGCAAGCCGAACCTATCAATTAAATGACCCATGTAAGTCAAGGATTCTTGCATGAAACTACATTTTTCTTTTTTTAATTGGAAGCCACATTCCGATAATTTTTGAAAGACTTGTTCTAATCGTTCCAAATGCTCAAGATCGTTTCTCCCTGTCACCAGAATGTCATCTAGGAATGATATAACGCCAGGAATATTAAATAATTGCTTCATGATTATTTGGAAGATGGAGGGCGCGCAGTGTATGCCGAAAGGCAATCCTTGATAAGAAAACAACCCCTTATGTGTGGAGATGGTAACCAACTCTTTGGACTGATCGTCGATCAAAATTTGCTGATACGCTTCTGAAAGGTCGATTTTTGAAAATTTCATTCCCCCCTCTAGTTGGCTAAATAAGTATTCAATTCTTGGAAGAGGAAACTGTTGAAATTCCAATTGGGGGTTCAAGGTCACCTTAAAATCGCCGCAGAGCCTTATACCGCCGTTTTTTTTTAATATTGGGACGATAGATGTTGCCCACTTTGAAAATTCTGTGGGCACTAGCACCTTGTTTTTGACTAGCCGGTCCAGTTCTTGCTCAATTTTCGGTTTTAATGCTATTGGAACCGGCCGAGGCTTAAAAAATTTTGGGGTGGCGTTTTCTTTTAATTTTAGCGTGACCTTGAACTTATTGAATGTACCTAGCGTACTGCTGAATATTGGTTCGAATTTTTTTAATAAATTTTGCAACTTGGCGTCCGAATTTACATATAATAAACTGGTATTGCTATCGACTGATTTACAAAGCCCGATATTTAGCATTTTCAGACCATTGCGACCTAATAAGGGTGGCCCGCCGTTCTTAATTACATATGTTTTTAGGTTGTAATTTTGACAATCATATGTTATTTTTAAGTTTACAAAACCCAAAGGTTGAAAAGATACACCGACATAATCTTTCAAACGCAAATCATTTACTGATTAACGGATATTTTTGAAAATGTTATACATTTTTTCCGAAATTGCCACGTGGGCGAAACCGGAGTCCACTTCAAAATTAAATTGCATTTTATCTATCTCTAATTTAATTAAAATGGGTTTTTCGTTACTTATTGAACTACTATGGAAATTTTCTGTTTTCTTATGAAACATATTTTGTACGGACGTCTGAGTGATGTTCGTGGGACCTTGCAAGGGTTTATCACTGATAATGAAGCACGGATCGTCGCTATCGTCCAAACCTTCGAGCGCGTTTTCTTTTAGAAAATTTTGATCCACCTTATTCTGCTTACAGAAGGGTGCTAAACGTCCTTTTACTCCGCATTTATGACAAAAACAATTGCGGTAGGCACACTCGGACGATTTGTGGTTGGAACGGCCACAAACTGAACAAGAATGGAAACTTGATGTTTTCGATCTTTGCTCCTTTTGGGGGGTCCTTGAATTTGACTTACCCCTGCTCCGACGAAAAATACCTGGTTTTTAATTGTTATAAAATAGCTCTTCTGGTTCTCTCTTGATTTGTGTGGATGTATCTTTCGACGCGCGTTTTTCGTGGTCAAAAAATGCAGATTCCTTTGACAATGCGATTTTTTCCATAAACTGGAAGGTGCACTTGCTACTTTGAGGATTTTGCTCAAATAAGCGGTCACTAAAACGCACATCATTTAAGCCAACCGTGAATATATCCCTCATTAATTGGTCGAGAGTGATAGAGGCATCAAACCCACAAAAACTTGCTAAATTTTTTACGCGAGCCGCCCAATCACACACTTTTTCACTTGGCCCCTTTTTTTTTGCTGTGTAAAATTTTAATCTTTCCGAAAAATACGAACGCACGTTAGAAAAATGTTTTAATAACATCTTGTCTAACTCTTCAAACTTCAGCTCCGGCGGTGTTTTCGGCACGCACAAATTTCGTAACAAAACGTAACATTCTTTGTTTAATGTGTTTAGAAGTGTTGCCCGTT